TTGTTTTTTTTTTTTAGTAGGGGCCGCGCGGATGCGAACCCCCCTAACACAAATTATGACGTCCACTCTGCCACTTGGGCAGATGGTAGACCAGCGCCCCTTCAGAGTGCAATGATGGTCACGGGTCTAGGCCATAGGCATTGCTGATCACCCGTTAGACAACGTCCAGGTAAGTATAATTGACATATTGATAGTTATTATAGATAACAGATGTACGAAAGAAAAACACCACATTAAAGCTAAATGTCATGCTTTGCTTTTAATAATTATACTCTTAATGATATTTACCTCAATAAAAGTACATTAAACTGATTGACAGATTGATAGCTCATTATAGCATTAATATTAATATAACATACTGACATGATTCATTTAATGATAATACTTTTTACCGTATGTCTAATAGCATGATAAATCTCTTTTAATTTTACTAATCATATTGACTTTATTATTGATTTTTGAAATTTTACTGCCTATATTAAGTGATGATTGATATTGACTAGAATTAAACATACATATTAATTTTATATTGAAAGTAGTTATAGAATTTTGGTTTCGTGCTGAGTTTTTGTAGCTCATTATATGTGGTTTAAATAATTTCAAGTCGGGGAAGGGATCATGACCACTTGGAGTGAGGTTGACAGTGATCCTTAAGTTCTCTTTAAAATTTGTTATGTATTTTCTTTTATTTTTTTTTAGTTATGAGCTTATGGTAGATTATTGATTATAGTGATTTCGTGGCTAGTGTAAATGATATTTTTGTGAATGAATAGCAAAATATCTTGATGTATATGATTTTAGATGCTTTCGCTAGTAATTATTTATATTGATATTTTATAGAAGCTCTGCTATAGTCTTAAAAAGATAAATAGACAATTCTTCAAATTGTGATTTTTGGACGTTACACACATATATCAATAATTATTTAATTATATATATATATATATATATATATATAATTAAATAATTATTGATATATGTGTGTAACGTCCAAAAATCACAATTTGAAGAATTGTCTATTTATCTTTTTAAGACTATAGCAGAGCTTCTATAAAATATAAATATAAATAATTACTAGCGAAAGCATCTAAAATCATATACATCAAGATATTTTGCTATTCATTCACAAAAATATCATTTACACTAGCCACGAAATCACTATAATCAATAATCTACCATAAGCTCATAACTAAAAAAAAATAAAAGAAAATACATAACAAATTTTAAAGAGAACTTAAGGATCACTGTCAACCTCACTCCAAGTGGTCATGATCCCTTCCCCGACTTGAAATTATTTAAACCACATATAATGAGCTACAAAAACTCAGCACGAAACCAAAATTCTATAACTACTTTCAATATAAAATTAATATGTATGTTTAATTCTAGTCAATATCAATCATCACTTAATATAGGCAGTAAAATTTCAAAAATCAATAATAAAGTCATTATGATTAGTAAAATTAAAAGAGATTTATCATGCTATTAGACATACGGTAAAAAGTATTATCATTAAATGAATCATGTCAGTATGTTATATTAATATTAATGCTATAATGAGCTATCAATCTGTCAATCAGTTTAATGTACTTTTATTGAGGTAAATATCATTAAGAGTATAATTATTAAAAGCAAAGCATGACATTTAGCTTTAATGTGGTGTTTTTCTTTCGTACATCTGTTATCTATAATAACTATCAATATGTCAATTATACTTACCTGGACGTTGTCTAACGGGTGATCAGCAATGCCTGTGGCCTAGACCCGTGACCATCATTGCACTCTGAAGGGGCGCTGGTCTACCATCTGCCCAAGTGGCAGAGTGGACGTCATAATTTGTGTTAGGGGGGTTCGCATCCGCGCGGCCCCTACTAAAAAAAAAAACTATCAATATGTCAATCTCATCTTATCTTTCATTTATTTCTATAAATCATTTATTTTAACATGATGCTTTCAATAATTATTTAAGAGTCATTGCCCTCTACCTGTCGGTGTAATTCAATCAATAAGTTACAAGCTACAACTAGGATTATACCACAAATCATCCATTTAAAGAAAAGCCCTTCATCCCAACCTTATAAATGTTATGACAAGGCACTTTCCAAATTTGGCTTAAAATGGTTCCTTAAAAAATTAGTTGTTTGGGTCAAATTACATGTCATTACAATATGTATTTGTTTTATGGTATAGAATGTTGACCATTAAGCATAAAATTAAGTATTGTAGAGATGAAGATACTTAGGTGGATGAGTACGTAGCTTTACTCCTAGAGACAATACTAAATGAGTATATATGAGAAAAATTTGTAGTAACTACAATGACAAATAAGATTAAACAGAGTTGTCTTAGATGATTTGGTTATATAAAACATCATCCTTCCGATGACTCAGTTATGAGATTACATGTATTAGATCTAACCTATGTTAAGAAAACTAGAGGTAGACATAAAAAAGACTTGGTTAGAAAGTATTGAAAATGACATTTAATTATTAGATTTGAATAAGAATTTGACTCTTAATAGGGCACAATGGAAAAAATGATTCATGTAGCCGACCCTACGTAGTAAGATAGACTTGATGGTGTATACATGCGTATGTGTGCACATGTGTGTGTGTGTGCTGTTTTTATTTGGCTTATTTAGAAAACTAGCTGAAAGACTTAAAAAAATTGTTCAATATCAGCTCTTATAACGACCAAATTGAATATGAACTTCTTAACTAATCAAACAAAAATTCTTATATACACTATATTCTTTATCATCCATACCAAAACACAAAAACTCATATAGCTATCAAGTTCAAAAACACATTGAAAAACATAAACATACCAAACTTGAAATAGAAACAACTGAACAAGCAAATGAAAGGATAGTTCTCTGAATCTATCACTCATCTCATGAACTCACAAATCGTTAGTCTCTCCAATCTTATTAAACACAACATCAAATCATAAAGTTTATAAGACTTCTTCATATCATGCGAGGCTAAGATCATGTGATTCGTATCCTATACCAAGCAGATTTGGCTGGATTGGCTGAACAACCCTGAAAGAAAACATCTGAGGACAATCATTCACCATTGGAATCGAGTTTTCATAGACTCTGTTGTGGTTTTCTGCACTGAAAGCATAATTCGGATTGTCGTCTTTCATCTCCTGCTTTCATGGAAGCTTGAAGCTTTAAATATGGAGGCTTTTTCTTAAAAGGGAATTGTAAGGGAAGTGTAGAATACTAACCAGTTCATGTACTAGAGCTCTGTAGGTCTCCCTAGTGCTTTTAAGCTGCAAATACATGTAAGTGATTGAGATTACTAGAATTCACTTTGAAAAAATTGAAGTTTTTTCTTAGTGAGAATAATTGTGATATTGAACTCATATATGAAATATAATTCTTACAAAATTTTTTGAGAGCATGTATATAAGTATATATTACATTGACCATTGCCTGTTTAAGATCATTAAATGAAATTTAAAAAAAAAAAGAAATTTCTAAAATATGAAGAGAACACAAAAAAGGAGTTTTCTTTGGGATATTATAGAAGGAATGATCACACCACCAAATTAAAAAATATAATATTGAAAATGAGAGAAGGGGTCTCTAATTTTTGTAAGAGAAGCTACAATAAGCCTCCTAACTTATTTTCTTAAGCTTCTCCCACACCACTCTCTATATCTCTAATCTTCTTTTCTCTTCCTCAGAACTGATTATTATTGTAATCATCGTTAGCTTTACTAATAATAATACATGAAAAAAAAATCATTAGCTTTACTATAATAAATTTATTAAATTATATTACATTTCTTAAATTTTAAAATTAATCATTAATCTAATATTAACTCTCAATCATAATCATTAGATCATTAACTCTCAATTTTTATCAATACAAATTACGACTAATAATCAAGTTATTATTTTTTTAAAGGGCATATAAAATCATTATCCTTAAAATATACTAAATAATTAAAATAATGAATTTAAAATTATTTATATTTACTTTAAAATTATTGTAATAATAATGATGCTTAACTTCATCCTAATATAATTTTATCAAAATCCATAACATAATTTTCATAAATCAATAAATCATTGTATGCCCTAAATTCTTTTCTTATTCTCTAAAATTATCTGTTCAATAAAAGAGATTATTTATCAATATAAAAACACTAAAGCTACACCATACAATAGGCCACACCAAAAGCCACACTAAATACAAGGAATGACTTCTCACTTTGATTGATTGGTCAAATGGTGGACTTCAATAATGGATTCATATTATTTTATGAACTTAGTTTATTTGCAAAAAAATAATTATATCTATACCATCATTAATATAAAAGGGTGCAAGGGCCTATTTCATTTGTTATATTTCTATCCTCATTTAATGATAAATAAGCATAGCAAAATTTAATTTTTGTAAATATTTCTTCTTTACAATTTCAAAAAAAAGGACTGATTTATAAAATGATTATTCTTTTTATGCAAAAATACAACAACTTTAATTGCAAATTTTCAAACAAAAAGTATAATATTTGTACAATTACATGAATCAAAATATACCAACTTAAAAAAAAAATAGCATAAAATGAAAGCATTTTTTGCAAATCTGAGATTCCTTTGGTCAACTTCATAAATCTTCAGCATAAATATTTTTGTTTTTATGACAAAAATAATTCAAAATCCTTTATTTTCTTTTTGGGGGGAAATAAAATCCTTTATTTAAAAGAGAAGATTTGAACATTTCATTTAAAGATGACAAGAAAATGAACAGAACAATGTGTTTGTTTCTACTTACCTTTTTCTTGTAAGTGTCAGTTTGTGTGGCGATCACATGATACTGCTACCAAACAATCAAATCATGTAAAATTTGTCAGATAGTTGTTTCTATTTAAGTAAGCAGAAAGTAAAAAAAAAAATATTAAGTATAGAGTATTATGCATTTTCTCCTTAAACATTAATTAATTTGTAGAAAGAAGGATTGATGATTTGGAATGAAAGATAATAAACTTTTATGGCAATAATGTCACCAATCCATACTTCATATGATGACAACGATTACATTACAAGATTGACTTCTTGTCAACTACTATAATGGTGCCTTAAATTTCGTGCATGACAAGGCCGATTGCATTGCCTTTTGACCCCTAAAGACCAAATATAACCTTGCAAGTCACATCTTATATAATAATAATAATAATAATAAATGAATTAATATTTGATGACACTTGCTACAAGTATCTTGTATGCCTCAGTATATATAATAACTCAAAAAAGTAATTTTAATATTTACAACTTTGACACTTTATGTTTTAATTTTTTTTCATGTATTTGGAAGTATTGTTGTATATGAAAAATATATGTGTGTTTTCTGGAATGAGTCCCAGGAGTTTGGATATTTTTTTGAGAAAAAGTTTAAATTTTTACTATTTGAGGGCCTAAGTATTGGGTGTTCAAGCATCAATAGCGTTGAGGGCCAAATAGTAACATTTCAGCTCTATAGTTTTGGGGTTATGGAAAATGAATTAACGTAATCAACTATTACATTCATTCGAGCGTCATAGCCAGTAGAGCAAGAGAGAGATCGAAGGAGAGGGTTTTGGAGGGGGAGAAGGATTTTTTAGCCGTCAGCCAAGTTGGAAAAGTTGTCTGAATTGAGGTAGTTCATATTATACATATCTCAGATAAAAAAAGAAAAATATGAGGTGATATTGGGTGTTCAAGCATCAATAGCGTTGAGGGCCAAATAGTAACATTTTAGCTCTATAGTTTCGGGGTTTTGGAAAATGAATTAACGTAATAACGTCACAATGCTAGTTGATAGTATTGTAGCGTTATGCCACTATATACAATTTAAATATTAAATAAATCAACTATTACTTTCATTCGAGCGTCATAGCCAGTCGAGCAAGAGAGAGATCGAAGGAGAGGGTTTTGGAGGGGGAGAAGCATTTTTTAGCCGTCAGCCAAGTTGGAAAAGTTGTCTGAATTGAGGTAGTTCATATTATACATATCTCAGTTTAAAAACAAAAAATATGAGGTGATTTTTTTTTTAATTTTTTCATTAAATTAATATTTTTATTGCTTAAAAATAAGGATAACTTTGCAATGGAAAAAATTTTATTGGTTAACTTTTTATATGTTATAGAGATTGAGATTTTAAACATTTTGAATATTTTTTGAAAAATTTCTCTAGGATTTTTAAAATTGTGTGGTTTTTATTTAATATAAAATAATATGGATTTTGAAAAATAGTGTTGTTGTACGATTAAAATCTTTAAAAAATATTTCACGTATTCTGTGAGAATTTGCTTATATTTTAAAACTATACATTTGTACTTAGTAGGTATTATATTTATTCATATTGTTAATACAAGCTTTGAGAATGAATATGGTATATGAATGGGTGATAGTTGATTGTTATTGCTGTTATAATATTGTGATAATAAAATGTATGGAAATAAGAAAGGCTTGTTATTCACTAACTTTGATTAAAGACTAATTGACTTGTACAAGATGACAGACTAACGGGCTTTCCTTTAAATATTGTGATTTGATGTTATTCTCTACTGATTCACTGATTGAGAGTTATAAGAAATTATTACTGTGCTAATATGCAAAGAGTGACAACTCTATTTATTAAGCGAACATGTTATTAATACGAATTATTGACAATACTCTGTTAGTAAGGGCTTTTTATTTATTTTAGTATGATTACTGAAATGCATGCCAATGATTTGCTGCTACTATATGACTTTATTGATATTATATCAACTTACTATCATTATACATATTTACTGTAACGTAATTTTACTACTACTATTATAGTAATATTCTATTGTTATTGTCACTAATGATACCAATACTGTTACGATATGATTAACTATATTGCATACTAATTTATTATTACTAATTAGGAGATATACAAAGTATATGATCTATTGTATACACTAAGCGTGTGATTAATCTACTATGGTTGGATATAATATATACTCTTGCATATAATTTGTTTACATTGATATTATTCTAACAGATTTATTGAGGCTTTGGTTATACCAATTAATATGATTTCTTTATGGATTGAATAATACTACTATGACATGATTGTTCACTATTTCATTTAATTGAAGCTATACTGATTTAAAAGATTACTCCAAATTAGATTATGGGATGTGACAGTATATTTACATGCCATAATTTTCATATATGATGATGGTCATTACATTTTCACGAACATCTAATGGCACCCATCTCTTATCTATGATAACCTTAGGCTTTATTTGAGAAAACTTTCTTATTACTTTTTAAAGAAGCATTTTAATACAAAAATTTATTGAATTACAAATTTTTATACAAAAAAAAAAATTTAGAAAGCAAAAAGAAAGCTGTCCTAAATGAAGCCTTACTTAAGGGTGTAGGTGAGTCAAGGTGGCTCGGGAACAAGCTCATTAATGAGCACATGAGTTATGCTTATCAATGTACGAGCTCGAATTTGAGTTTTTATTCATAATACGAGTCATATATTATATGAGGCAAAGTTTATGTTTGATAAGGCTTGGCTTGTTATCTCGTCAAGCAGCTCGATTATCTTCAGTTCTGACTAACAATCTCTTAGGGGAGTTAAAAAGGATTTTCAAGCCGAGTTAGGGTAAAACTCAAAACTGACCCTTCTTTAATTGTTCTAACTTGAACTCAACTTGATTAGATAAATGGGTTAGAAATTCAGACCCAGACCCAACTCGATAGGTTACCAGGCTGACCTAACTTGACTCGCTAACCCTCAAATGCGAGAGCACAGAATGTGAGTGTCGAGTGTGGGTTACATGTTGGACTATGAGAAAACTATTGTAGGCTAAGGCGAGTGCAGGAGTGCATGTCTGTAAGCGAGGGAAGGATTGTTTGAGTGCGTGATTGCTCAGATGCGAGAGCGGGTGCCAACAATGGCGCGACTGTGAGTGGGAGGGATCGAAGCCATGTTATCACGAGTGTGTTGACTGTGGGCAAATACCGATAGCACAACTACACATTTATGCTAGTCCCGGGCAAGGCACCTACGCGGGGGCTACTTGTGAGGTCAAACAAGTCAAAAATTGGAACTCAAACCTGATGTATTTGTTAAATGGGTTGACCCGAACATGAATTTTTTTGGGTCGGGTCAATAATTGACACCCTTACTATTTCTCCTTATTCCTCATAAATCTAGTTTAAATAAGATAGACCACAAGTCTTATGAAATCTTCTTCAAACATTGCTACCTCCATCGATGTCTTCTCCAATGAGCTCTCATTGCAACTTCCTCACTTATCATTGAGGGTTTTAAGAATTTTGGGGATTGAGTTTTGGGTGGAGAATGAAGAGCCTTTGTCCCCCATTTTGTATTGCTTTTAAAACTTAAGCTCAAGCCTAGTATTGATAAAAGAACTTAGTTTTAGTTCAATATATGAGTTCCAATTGAGCTTAAGCTCCAGTTTAAGCCTAATATAAGACCGATAAGTCAAGCTTGAGTTAGCTATTACTTAAGCTTGACTCTAGTCATTTACATCCTTAATCTCACCCGTCATAATAGCATCATTGAATGCATTGCCAAAGACAAAAATGATCTCATCACCTATTGCCACCAAAAGACTAAATGATGCGTCTCTAATATTATGTCATCTTATCACATCAACAATCATGTTGAACTACACAACGACTTCAATCACATCAATTGCTACAACCTAATGATCAATCATCAAATTTCACCCTTTTATGATCATCTTATATATCAACATGAAAGCAATGTCAAATGCACTTCTCCTAAGATGAACTTTATAATAGAAGTATGTAACAACATACTTTATAACATCAAATACTTTGCAATGCCGATTGATGTTGTTTTCATTATTGTCTTAGAGAGAGAGAGAGAAAGGTAGAGAGAGCCTTTTCTCTTAAATTTTATTATCTCTTCATGAATTTAGTTTTCATCATAGATTTAAATACTCTCTAAATTCAAAGTAATAGTGTTCATTATGATTTACATCTTGAAAATTAAATTTTTGACCTTTTTTGTTAATTTTTATGATAATTTAAATATCAATCAAATATGAGCAAAATATACAACAACAACAAGCCTTTGTCCTGCTATGTGGGGTCGGCTACATGAATCCTTTTTCGTCATTATGTCTTGTTAAAAGTCAAATTCACATTTAAATCTAATAAAGAAAGATCATTTCTAACATTTTCTAATCAAGTAGTTTTAGTTCTACCTTTACTTTAATTAATATAAGTCAAGTCTAATACCTCAACTTTCCTGACATGTTCATCAGAAGGCCTCCGTTTAATATGGCCAAACCATCTAAGGAGACTCTCTCTAATCTTATCTTCCACTTGAGCTACTCCAACCTTTTTACGTATATGCGCATTATGTATCCTATCTCTAAGGGTAAAACCACTCATCCACCTAAGCATCATCATCTCTGCAACACTTAACTTAGTATTATGCTTCTCTTTTAATGGACAACATTCGACACCATAAAGCATGGTAGGACTCACAACCATCTTATATAATTTTTCCTTAAGTTTGTGGGGGACTTTTCTATTGCACAACACGTCTGAAGCATTCCTCCACTTCAGCAATCTAACTTGAATTCTGTTGATAATATCCCCATTATATGAATATGAGCAAAATATAAATATAATTAAACAAATACTATATAAAAGCTTACTTAAAATATCTACTTTTATTTTATATTTATCACCAATTAAAATCTTTTGTTGAAAAGTCAGATTTATTTATTCATTCTTTATTTCTCTCAATTAATTTAATTTTAATTTTAAATCAATTAAGATTTAAATAATTAATTATTATTGTTTGAAATTGATTAATTAATAATTTTTCTTTATTAAAAAAAATTTCAAGTCCATCTATAAGCTAATTTATCTTGATACAAAAGAGACAACATGAGTGAAGGAAAAAAAGAGAAATTGAAGGAGAAAAGATGAGTTAATGGGAAAGAGAAAAAGTGAGTTATAATATTTAGGCTTCTTCAAAATTGGAACTAAACACTAAAGTTTTAGTATTTTTAAGTATATTTTATATTTATATTTTCTAAAAATTCATTAGTTGTGTTAAGGCCAACTAAAGTTTGGCATCTTATTCGGCTGATTTTAGCCTGTTAGTTCGAAGCTTAGGCTTTGAATCAAGACATCTTAGGGTGTGTGCGTGAGTTTGTGATTTAGGTTTTGTTTGTGACAACTTTCTTATTGCTTGCTAAAACAACATTTTAGTATAATTTTTTTTGGATTAAAAATTTAATACTAGAAAGCTGCTTGAGAAATCAGCAAGAAAGTCATCCCAAATGAAGTCCTAGCTTGCTCAAAGTCTAAAATTTTTTTGGCATCTATTGCACAACTTTCTTATCAATATAGCCTTTCAAAAAAATATAATTTGATATATGCACATGAAAAAATTGATTCAACAACCCAACAAATCCCTAGAGGTGGAATATGCCACACATTAATTGTTATAAGAGAAGTTAAATGATATGCATTCAATACATACCTCTATAAGAATTTTGATGAATTGTCAATGAGAGAGAGAGAGAGAGAGAGAGAGAGAGAGAGAGAGAGAGAGAGAGAGAATTTAATGCTACCATATGAATGTGTACCATAGTTAATTTTTTTGTCACCTAAATATTCAACTGATAAAATTTCATCTGTTTTACCTATGATTCAAGTAACATAGCATTGGATATAAAAAAAATGGAGGGATTAACATATGCACTATATATTTATATATCTGATATCTAATTTTTTTATAATGTATTTATATAAAATTCAAATATTTAAGCCACATAAAAATATCATAAACATCAATTTATTTAAAGTGAAATAATTCTTTTCATGCATATATTTATGCATAAAGTTGTTATATAATTTACAATAAAGATTTAAATATTAGATATATAAATGCATAACAATAGAAAGGATTGATTATAGCTATGCATATCCTATTAATTTATTATTATATAAATTAATGAGTTTCTGACGCATAAAGCTAATGTTAATGGGAAGTCTAAGAAGGAATTATTATTTAAAACATCATTGTTGCATCTAAACTACAATGTATTACTATTTATTAATATGTTAATAATTTTTATAATGAATACCTATTTTGCAAATAAAAATTATGCATTAATCAAATACATATAGCTTCCATGCTTTCGATGCGCAAAATGAAAGTTTGAGATATCCATTAAAAAAAAAACAAATATGTGTAATATAAAATATTAACTAGGAGTATTATTTAAATATGAATAAGTAAGATGAGCTTAATTAAAATTTAATTTAAAAAGTAGCAAAAATGTAAATTAGATTTGCATTTTCAATAAAAAATGCTTATTAAAATTGCTTTTTTTACTGAAAACGTACATCTAATTTCGGTTTTCAATAAAACTTAGTTAATTTTTTTATAAATATATTTCTCGACTCACCAAATGTTATCAGATTTTTGCTTGATGACCATCGATCGAACTTATGCTCAACTGTCATCACACGAAGTCCAATACACTTTCTAAACTCTTATAATTTGACGGTCCTTAAATCTAGGGACGAGTCAACTTTTGTAACTTGTTCTGACAATACAATAATAATAACAACATTAAGCTTTTATCTCACTACATGGGGTCGGCTACAATAATCTTTTTTTCTTGATTGTCCTATTAAGAGTTAAATTCTCATTTACATGCAAGGGGGGACACGTAAATATAGTATACATGCAAAGTTAAGTACAGTAAATATTTCTTATATTTTAAAGCTAATAATTTTATTATTTTTTAATTTCTTTACATATGTAATTTTATGCTATTTAAAAATAATAAAAATTCACATGTTAGTTTTTTAAATTTGAAAAAAATATCATATATTTTTTATGTTATATAACTTTTATAGATATTATATAATTAGAATTTGTTTGGGACAATTTTCTAACTGTTTTGCTATTAAGACAATAATCATATTTTTTTTGCTAATATTTTTAGCTATTTTTTAAATGTTTTTTTTAATAGAGGAAGTCTTTTTTACTACCAAAGTAGCTAAACTAATTTTCCTATGCTACCAAAAATTTTTTTACTGTAAATTATTCTTTTATTTTATTATATTTAAATAATGTTCCTTACTAAAATTTTACATATACAAAATAGCTTCCAAATATTGTGAGATGGTAAAAGAGGGATACAGACCCATCAGATCATAGAAGACATTCTCTTGAACGAGGGACCCAACAGGACAGCCTTTATTGTACTTGCTAGTTATCATCCCCTAATGATGAGCACCCTATGCTAATACTTTATTTGAGAGAGTTTTTTTTTTATCATTTTTTAAACCATTTTTCTAGAATAATATTTTTTAAACTAAAAATTCTATCTTAAAAATTTACTATAAAAAATAAAATAAAAAAATTGTCTAACTTTTTAGTATGAAAATTTTAATTTTGTACTAAAATTTTACTTTAAGAAGCAGTAAGAAAATCATCCCAAACTAAATTAAGTAGTCCTATTATTACTTAATTAGCTTAAAAATTGGATTTATTAGTTATCTATCAACTTAGAAATTTATCTCAACGTGTAAGTCGGGATGGATTTATACTCATTGAGATTAGTTATTACACTGATATCAACACAAATCCAACGATTATAAACTCCATGCTGAAGCAATTTGTATCGAAATATGCTAAAATAAAAATTTTCATATCTATTGCCGGAAAAATTATTACGTCCGGTGTCCGTACACGTCCGGAGGCCAATTTTGACGAGCCACATCATCCAATGCACAATGTATTGGATGATGTGAGACGTCTGAATTAACCTCCGAATGCGTTTTGACTCTGAACAAAATAATCTTTCCTATTGCAGTGTATTATAAATGGAAACAAAAAATAACATTTATGTAAGCTAAGAAATAATCACCATTGAAGAATAAAAAAAAAAGTTTAATAAGAAGCGTTCACCTTTCTCTGTCTAACAATTCTTAGAGACTCTTCCAAAGTTTGCTCAAGACCGCGCAGTTCCTTTATTTCCATCCCCTCCAGTTCTTCTCCCTTCCTCTGCCTGCATTCAGCATTCAACCCAATCAAAATCTGTTCATATTTCTATCATAGTAAATTTCACAAATGTTATGTACTTAGCGTTATTTAATTCATTGGTAAGTGCCATCTAATATCATAGAAAAAAGGTTAATTTGCCAAGAAAAATCACTTATTTTCTTACATATTTATCAAATAAATTTTCATCAACATTTTATTTTTACATAATTCATTGTTATCAATACAAAACAGAAGTGCAGAAACACTCTCAAAAGAGCAGACTTTACCTAATCTCCTTGCGAAGGTTTTGGTTGATCTCGTTGAGATGCTTCAGTGTATTTTGCATCCTCTGCTCCGTTCATAAAAATAAGATTTTTACATAAATATACAGAAGAAAAAGACCAGAGAAACAATGGCTCTTACCTCATATTGAGCATTCCATAGATCCATGCCAGTAACAACCTGGTACCTCTCATATACCCCCTTAATACTGTCCAAACACATATTTTCATCATCACAAAGTAACATAGAGAGAGAAAGAAGAGAAAGAAATGGTTCACTTACTCAGTAGAAGGGCTACAGTAATCAGCCAGCTTGCCAGTGCTGGAGAACATGATGAGAGAGACTTGAGCGTCGCAGAGAACAGTGAGCTCCTTGGCCTTCTTCAAGATCCCAACCCTCCTCTTAGAGTATGTCACTTGCCTGTTCGTTGGGTTCTCTATCTTTTTAATCTCTATCTTCCCCCTCCCCATCTCTGTCTTGCTCTGTTTTGCTCTGTTTTGCTTTATTCTCAATCGTTCTTCTTCTTCCTCCTCTCATATAAATAGAAAGAGAAAGATCAGTTTTTTAGAGAGAGAGAGAAAGGGGGTGGTTAATACAAGTGAGAATATTCTTCTATGCTTAACTTTTTACTAAAAATTCAGTTTTGATTGTTCCATTGAAATGCACTTACAGTAACTATCTATCAGAGCTTAATATTTAACTTGGATCGATTGATTATCCAATTTGTTTTAGATTCTGATTAAACGGGCTCTTTTTAATGCTTAATTCTCCATTATGTTAACAGTTTGGATTAAAAAAAAAACTAAGAAGAGAACTGTAAAGAAAAAAGAGAGAGAGAAATGGAGAGCTTCCATTTACAGAGCAGGAAGCAAAAGCTATAGTTTCTTAGAACGGAAAGAGTTGCCTTTTTTGTGAAAGAAGTTGCGGGCAGAGATAACATGTGATGTTTTTCTTCCATTTAAAGCAAAGGTCACTTTACTTTCTCCTTTCTCTCAATCTTCTCTCTCTCTTTCTCTGATTTTTGTTACAGTTTCTCAGCTTTAAGCTCTTTATCGCACTCTTCTACTGCTATAAGTACGCGTTCGGCTGGTTTAATTTCGTTACTGATACGCCATTTGAGGAAAACAAGGGGGGGAGGTCAGACTTCTGTAGCTTAATCTCTTTTCTGGAAATACAAATTTCTAAGGGGGATTTGTATATATATCACATAATTACAAATTTTATTATTTGTTTATATAACATCTAAATATCAAATTCACCCACCGCTGCTTGTCCGGGTGGTGAAGAGCCGGCTGGGCAAAACCGAGGTCCCTGGTTCGAATCCCTTGACAGGCAGTGAAAGCCTTAAGTCTTGGCCCGTGTAAATTGGTGTGGGTTGCATGCTACGTCGACCGGGGTTTTCACTGACCTATGAACAGTGCTTTCTCGTAAAAAAAAAATCAGATTAAAAATATTATTAATATTGTTTTTTTTAATATAATATTAGTGGTTTAATAAGTTAGTTCAGTTTATAAGATTTTAAAATTATTTTTAATGTTTTTGTAAAGGTGTTGTACAAAAAATGATATTTTTGTAATTTGATCATTTAATGAAAATAATAATAAGTACAAAAGTTTATAAATAAGACTAAAATGATAGGGTTTCTTGGCTGTGATAGTACAGCTAGGGTTTCTCCTAAATGGTGAAAGCAATAATATGATTAGTCATAGAATCTGATAATTAGTATTTTATAATAAATATCTATATTAATTTAGAGTATTATAATATAGAAACTTTAGTGTCCAGTTTCAAAAGATTCTGACCTAAGGTTAAAATAATTGTCTAAATTTTCAGGTATCTTTTATAGAAAAATATTTAAACTATTATTTTTTACATAATTTATTCTAATTTTCTTATATTATATGAGATGAAATTATCAAAACTTATTATTAAAATATCACTAAAAATTCATTGGATCAAACACTATAGAAAAATAAATAAAATTCGTCGACAAATTGCATTTCATATATATGTGTTTTCACAGATAAATATGTGCTAATAAAATTCCCAACAAAAACACTTTCCACAAGCAAAAAAGTCTATCAAAGAAGCATTTTTGGTAAAAAAATTGTTGGAAAATTTTAAACTCAAAATCGACAACAATTCAATGGATTTTTTACTTGAAAATTAGGGTTTAGAGAAAAATTCGAGAGAAATTTTCTCCTGTTATATGGTCAGGAGTAGAACCGGTCTCTCTTTTGAGAGTAGGCCAAATAAGATTGGGTGACATAACCTTAGAGATAAAATATATAATAAATTTTCTCTTAGAATTATTGATAAATGTATTTATTAAGAGTGAGCAAAATAATTAAAATAATTATTATAATATGAGAAAAAAAATCATGTAAACACAAAAAAACCTCCGGAAATCGTTTCGTACGTTGTTTTTACCGGCGGTATTTGAACAGCCGAAAATACGCCGGTTTTTTACAAACTACTCGAAAGCTTATAATAACCGCCGGAACAAACCGCCGGTAATGAGTGATTTTTCTATAGTGTCAGGGTGGCAATTACCCACCCTAAGCTCCTCCTAGATCCACCCCTGTCTATGGTATGCTAGCATTAAGTGTAGATATCAAAGCAATTTTCAGAGCTCAAAGCATACCAATATTTGAACGAAAACTTTTAAAATTTACTTCGACATCACTTGAACTCCTTTTTCAACAATCTGGAAGTCAAATTTACCATCTTGAAGAGAAGAACAATAATGATAATAATAATAACTCGATTTAAAACCAAATGAGCCTAATTCGAGCATTTAGGTATAGTTCAAAACTCTTTGACATAATTTTGGACATCAAATGGCCTTAAATTTTTATGTACTTAAAATCAAAATGAGTATATCAATGAGAAAATCTTTTTTACGTGCCCAAAAGCACTCAATTATAAATTATTAACGCATTAAAATGTATAAAAAAACTAAATAATAATAAAAAATGATTAGATTGAGCTAGCATCTTAATTTCTAGTTGAAATGATTAAACTTCCATCTTCAAAAATTTACAAGTAGGCTTTATATTACATCTATGCATGACTAAGAATTCTAAGACTCAGAAAGCTCTACAGTCCTACCTACAAATTGATCATATCCATTATTGATAGTCATTAATGTCTACCATGCATAGACCACCACTAATATCTATCATTAAATAACATCAATGTCAGTTGTGCATCTCCAATCCATGCCAACACCCATTGCCTTATCTTTGAATCCTATCTTCTTTTGCTCTTAGGGTGGGCAAATTGTTGTAACTTTTAAAATATATATTAAAATTTTTTGAATTGTGATAGACTTCATGAATTCTTCTCTTTAAAAATTTTAAATGTTTTTTTTTAAATAACTATTTAGTGTAAAAATTTTTTGAGTTAGAAATTTTTATACTAAAAAATTGTTTTAGAAAATAATATTATTGATAGTCATTAATGTCTACCATGCATAGACCACCACTAATATCTATCATTAAATAACATCAATGTCAGTTGTGCATCTCCAATCCATGCCAACACCCATTGCCTTTTCTTTGAATCCTATCTTTTTTTGCTCTTAGGGTGGGCAAATTGTTGTAACTTTTAAAATATATATTAAAATTTTTTGAATTGTGATAGACTTCATGAATTCTTCCCTTTAAAAATTTTAAATGTTTTTTTTTTTAAAATAACTTTTTAGTGTAAAAATATTTTGAGTTAGAAATTTTTATACTAAAACGTTGATTTAGAAAATAATAAAAAAACTGTTTCAAATGAAGCTAGAGACTTTTCATGTTAAAAATATTATACATTTTATGAGTTATATTCTATTCATTTATATTTGTCTAATCTTTGAAAACGTTAGACCATAAATTTATCCTCTACATATTATAAATATTATATCAAAAAACTTGAACTATGTTATAGCTTAGTCACACTTCTAAGAAAGTATAAAAAAAGGCATTTGTAAAATAATAAAATTGTAAACCCTATCAAATACTTATTTGAGTTATTAAGGTCTTTATGTGGTTGGAGAACGAGTTAGGCCGAGATTTTTTTTCACTAGTGGGTTCCTTTGTTTCACCCTACTAGGGCTTTTGTCCTAGCCGTCGCTGGAGGTGGTTTCGCTCCGGTGCCTTCGTGCTAAGGGGAGTTTTCTTTTTTGTCTCTTCTCCATCCATTTTTCGCATTGTTGTTTTTGTTTGTTTTTTTCTTGACCCTTATTTGGTGCTATGGAGAATTTTGTTAAGTGCTTAGACCCTGTCTTTTTCGACTGTAAGAATCGATCCAAATCTTTCAAGGAGATTTTGTCTAGATTTAATATGTCTAAGGCGTTTCCGGATCTACAAGTCACTACAATTTTGGGTTTGACAGCTTTAAGGATATTGGAGGATGAAGTACTTCATCTCGCTAAGCCTTTTGATTTCGCTTTAGAGGGGAAATGTTCGTTTAAGTATCCGACATTAGACTCGATTAGGAGGTTTTTTTCAACATAAAATTATTGGGTGTGTTTTCTGTTACTTTTTTGGATCAGAGCAATGTCTTGATTAAGCTTTCTAATGATCTCGACTACGGTAGGGTTTTTGCGCATATATCTTATTTCATTTTTTGTTGTTTTATGAAAGTAATTAAATGGATGTCATTCCTTGACCTATCGGAGGAGTCTCCGATCATCCCTGTCTGGATTTCCTTTACGAAGCTTCACCCTCACCTATTTTCTCCTCACATACTTTTTGGTCTGGGGTCTTTATTTGGGTGTCCTCTTCATACCGACAATGCAACTGCTGTGGATTCGAGGCCATCCGTTGCTCGCATCCTTGTGGAAATGAACATTTCTAAAACTTATCCTTATTTTGTTTGGCTTGGCCCTGAGAAATTAGGATACATTCAGAGAGTTGTTTTTGAAGGTTTTTCTAGTTACTGCCCTCATTGCAAATATGTGGGGCATAAGAAGTCTGAATGTGTTAAGCTGTTTCCTCATTTGAGGCAGGTTGTTGCATCTGTCCAGCCTCCTGTGGTTTCTGGACCTATTCATGTTGTGGACCCTCCTTCCTTGGATCTAAATGATCCCTTTATTTCTGTGAATTTCCTTCCCCCTACTACTTCTGAATGTCCCTCTGTTTCCACCCCTATCATTGTGGAATTGGCTCCAGAGCATGTGTCGTCGGATGTGTGTGCTCAGGTGGGGGATTCTTCACCCCCTAATGACTGTATGGTGGAAATGGCTAACATTGCTAATGCTTTGAGTCCCATTGGTGTTGTTGCTGAAAGTGTTGCTAATTGTTTGGGGGTTAATGTTGTGTCATTGGATTATACTATAGCTTTTGGTGACTATATTCTTGTGGTGAAGGTGCCTGCTCCTTTTGTTGCTTTTTCAGATCTATTTGAGAATGTTTGTTGTGATGGAGTGAATGACATTTTGAGTGATAATTATTGTGGTCTAAATCTTATAGCTAGCCATTCATGTGAGGATGCTTTAGCTGATTCGGGTGATTTGTTGGATGAGGTGGATTTAGGGGTTGGTTTTATCTCTAGTAAGGATCTCCCTTGTTCTCCTTCCTAGGAGTTGGTTGTTTCTGATGGCTCCATTCCTTTGGAGCTTGTGGCAAGAGAGGTTGAAATTTCGGCGGTTAATTTGACTTATGATTTACCTGTTAATGTTGATGCTAATGTGTCTCCTTCTGTGAATGTCTCGAAGGGGAATGTGGGGTATGTTGATATTTATATTTCCATTATGTCTAATGCAGATTGAAAGCCC